TAATGTTTACCATCAGCATTGCGGGTGTCAAGAATTTCAGCGAAAATCTAACATCAAGAGATACATTTCCATTTTAATCTGTTTAATGTATATTCTGGCACATAACTGCGAAAACGACAATTTGTTTTAAACCAAAAAAATGTGAAAAATGTGCCTAAAAATTATACTTTTCTGCACGTTTCGATGTTTGGTATGCTTTGTATCAAAATAATTTTTGGTTTATTGTTTGCTTTTATCGTCAACAAATGTTTTTACTTGTGACAATAATCGGGTGATGATTTTTATTATGTGTTAGAATATAATTTTTATTTTAATCGTTAGACAGATTAGGGGATTAATGTAGGGACACATGGCAGAATATAATTTGAAATAATTTAATTTATTTTTCTTCAGAAAAAATCGCCTAAAATTTTAAACATATTCCCAAGTCAAATAAAAGGCAATACAAAATGTATGAGGCAATATAAATATCCAAGAATAATAATTGGTAAGAGTACCATTTATTTCCTACAATATATTTATATTTCATTTTTAATTTATAATTCGATAATTTTCCAACATAACGTCTATGAATATCAAACATAAGTGTAATAAAATATATGGGTAAAATGAAAGTTTTTTGGAAAAGGCCTACACTATTAACTGAAATCATTGTTATATTTCTTATCAGCCAACTTGAGAAAAATTACTAATAAATTAAATTTCAAAGCATAATCTGAGAACTGTTTGCTATTTTCTCATTCATATAGACAACACACACATTTTAAGAAGTTAGTAATCAAATTCTAGACAACCTCTCCCACACTCACTTCTGGGAAATAAACTATTTACAACCAGTAAGGAAAGTAGTAAAGTCGGACGGGGCCGACTATATGATACCCTTCACCACTATGGGTATATTAAACAGGACTATTAGCATGAAATTGGACGAAATAAAATATGTGATATTTATCTAAAAGTGAATCTACGTAGATCTATCCATAAAGTATGTAAATCGACTTCAAACAAATCATAAATCATTCATCCGTTGGGCTATGTCTGTACTTCTAGAAAACGCAACTACATAATTCTATGCTCAATTTTGTACGTTGTGCAAAATTTGATGTCAAACTGACTAACATGGGAAGTTTGATGCCCAATTTACTTGACGTCGGGCGAAAATATATATGGAAGCTCTATCCAAATATTAAGCGATTTCAAACAAACTTGTCACAGGATAGGTTATACTAATTTCAGAACGTTTTGTTCCTACTGGTTCCTTGGTGCGTCAATTACTTAAAATCAATCTATAATAAAAGGGAGCTATATCTAAATCTGTACCGATTTTCACGAAACTTGCCAGACATCATTCCAGACCCAATTCAGACGTTATGCCAAATTTCGTGCAAATCGAAAGGTATATAGGGACTTTGGTGCACCATTTACATAAAATCGGATGAAACTATATATGGGAGCTATATCTAAATCAGAACCGATTTTCTCGAAACTTGGCAGACATCACTCTAGGCTCAATTCAGTACTTTATGCCAAATTTCGTGCAAATCGAAGGATACATAGGGACTTTGGTGCACCATTTACATAAAATCGAACAAAACTATATATGGGAGCTATATCTAAATCAGGACCGATTTTCACGAAACTTGCAGACATCATTCTAGGCTCAATTCAGTATGTTATGCCAAATTTCGTGCAAATCGAAGGATATATAGGGACTTAGGTGCACCATCTACATAAAATCGGACGAAACTATATGTGGGAGCTATATCTAAATCAGGACCGATTTTCTCGAAACTTGGCAGACATCACTCTAGGCTCAATTCAGTACTTTATGCCAAATTTCGTGCAAATCGAAGGATACATAGGGACTTTGGTGCACCATTTACATAAAATCGAACAAAACTATATATGGGAGCTATATCTAAATCAGAACCGATTTTCACGAAACGTGGCAGACATCATTCTAGGCTCAATTCAGTACGTTATACCAAATTTCGTGCAAATCGAAAGATATAAAGGGACTTTAGGGCACCATTTACATGATATCGGACGAAACTATATATGGGAGCTATATCTAAATCTGGACCGATTTTCACGAAACTTGGCAGACATTATTCTAGACCTAAATGATTAGGCTGTACCAAATTTCGTGCAAATCAAAAGATATATAGGGACTTTGGGGCACCATTTACATGTAATCGGACGAAACTATATATGGGAGCTATATCTAAATCTGGACCGATTTTCTCGAAACTTGGCAGACATCATTCTAGGCCCAATTCAGTACGTTATACCAAATTTCGTGCAAATCGAAAGATATAAAGGGACTTTAGGGCACCATTTACATGATATCGGACGAAACTATATATGGGAGCTATATCTAAATCTGGACCGATTTTCTCGAAACTTGGCAGACGTCACTCTAGGCTTAATTCAGTACGTTATGCCAAATTTCGTGCAAATCAAAAGATATACAGGGACTTTGGGGCACCATTTACATGAAATCGGACGAAACTATATATGGGAGCTATATCTAAATCTGGGCCGATTTTCACGAAACTTGGCAGACATCATTATAGGCCTAAATGATTAGCCTGTACCAAATTTCGTGCAAATCGAAAGACATATAGGGACCGTTTACATTAAATCGGTTAAATATATATATGGGAGCTATATCTAAATCTGAACCGATTTTTCCCAATTTCAATAGGGTTCGTCCTTGGGCCGAATAAGTGACCTGTGCCAAATTTCATCCAATTCGGATCATAAATGCGACCTGTACTTTGTTTACAATTTAACGTGGACAGACAGACGGACAGACGGACGGAGGGACGGACATGCATAAATCGACTTAGAAAGTGATTCTATGCATATTCTCAAAAGGAACCATGGGTCTATCTCGATTATTTTTGCCTGTTACAAACATATGCACAAAGACATAATACCCTGTACCACAGTGTGGTGAAGGGTATAAAAATCAAGGGTTGCCAATTGATTGGTATCGGTGTCATTATGGCTGTGTTGGAAAAAGGCGATACCTTTTGAAAAAAAATTCTATGTTATTTATAACCCCACACAAAGGCAAATAAAACAAGGCGACAGCATTGTGAGATACACGTTGCTTATTTAACATGGCCCCTTGGCCCTTTAACGAACTCGAAAAAATATGTTATATAATGAAATATAATACAAACAAAAAAGGTATTCTATAAAACGTGACAAAATTGTATAAATTCAATTGGCCAAATGGAAACAAAATACAACCGAGTTCGTATGGGCTGTGGTCGGTAATGTCAATAAAGTGATACCTTACACTGTAACGAAAATCATGATTTTGAGGAACTACTAATCGACGTGAATTTTTTTTAACATCTTGAGGAATTTTTTGAGAACTATCAATTTTTATACCCTACAGAACTATGATGTCAGGGTATTATAGCTTTGTGCAGCCCCAAAAGTTTGTAACGCCGCGAAATCTTGGTCCTAGACCCACCTTTAAGTATACCAATCGTCATATCTCGACTATCTGAGTCGATCTAGACATGTGTGTCCGTCCGTCCGTCTGTCCATTATAATTTGTAAACACGATACAGGCCACAATTATGGACCAATCTTCACGAAATTTTGCATGTAGAATGGGTTCTGGCAAATGAAGATCTCTATTGTTTTTTAAAAGATAGGTTAATATTTAGGGAATGAAATGGACTAAAAACATTATTTTTGTCGGGTTTCCTGATCGCTCCAGAGGCCGCAATTATGGCCCATACACCGCGAATTTTTGCAAGGAGAAGGGGATCGGGCCAGAGAATAAACATGCCTGTTTTCATAAAGATCGGTCAATAATTAACGGGTAAAATGGACACTGACTTTTGTGTGAAAAATTACAAAATTTTTATTCTATAGCGTATAGATTTACCCCTGAAGAACCTAGACCCGAGAATTTGACAATATATTCACGAGGAGTGGTTGGCCTTCAAGTTGATACCAATTGCTTTGTCGTATGTACTCGGATGTGAGAATTACACTTAAATGTTTACAGGTACTTACGTAATCAAATATTATTTAGTAACCCATTACCCCACTAGAGGTCGGAAATATAGCGCTGATTGCTTTGAAATTTTCCGTGAGGATCCAGGTGTGATCAAGGACAACGCCTATAATTTCGACGATGATCAGATAATAATATTGGAATGAAGTGGACCGAAAACTTAATTTTTTGTGTTTTTTCGAGTCGGTCGGATTTCTTAATGAATATATTTTGAGGCGTGGATTTCTTTATGAATATTTTTTGAGGCACTATCAATAGACGTGGATTTCTTAGTGAATATTTTTTGAGGCACTATCTATAGACGTGGATTTCTTAGTGAATATTCTTTGAGGGACTATGAATAAGCATGGATTTCTTTATGAATATTTTTTGGAGGCACTATGAATAGGCGTGGATATCTTAATGAATATTTTTTGAGGCACTATCAATAGGCGTGGATTTCTCAATGAATGAAATTATGAATTATATTACATAATGAATTTTTTTTTGAGGCACTATCAATAGGCGTGGATTTCTTTATGAATGAATTTTGAGGGCTATTAATAGGTGTGGGTTTTTAATGAATAGGCGTGAATTTCTTAAAAATATTCTTTGAGGGACTATCAATAGGCGCGGATTTTTCAGTATTATTTGAGAGACCATCTAGGCGCGGTGTTTTTAAAAATTTACCGAGGGATTATATAGCCGTTAATTTTTTAAATTATTTTTATTTGAGAGACTATATTAAGCATTGAGTTTGAAAAAAATTTTGAGGCGCTTTCAATAGGCATGGATTTTTCAAACATTTTTTATTTGAGATGTTTTACTTGAGGTACTACCAGAAGCGTGAATTTTTTTTATAGAATATATTCTTGAGACGAACAGTATTAACTCTCAGACCACATGTAGCGTACCACAACAAAAGGAAATTTAATAAATAAATACGAGTGGCAACATGGCCCAAAACAATTGTCCTTTAAAAGGACTAAACCGACAATAAGAAAAAAAAGAAACACTAAAAAACAATATAACTTACCACAACAAAATTTAGTGGATACGTGATGCTGTTGGTCTTGGTCACTTTCATGATGCAACAGCATTTGGTGTTGATGATAATTGTGGCAATGATTTTGTTGTTGTGGCTGATGTTGCTGTTGAAACAACCTTTGATGTTGATTGCCATACTGTTGTTGATAATGTTTGGTTGATGAAGGTTTCTGGTGCTGCTGCTGTTGTTGGAAAATATCTGTTTCTTGTATTGTATCATCCAAATGGTTTTCTTTGTTCAGGCTAAAGTGGCTGCGCATGATGCTGCCGCCACTACCAATATTGCTTCCAGCTGTTGTAGCATTACCTCCTGCTCCACCACAACAGCCATCACCATTAAGTTTCATTGTGACATTTGTTATGGTCTTTGGACCATGACGACGCAATGAAAATTGAAATCTTAAACGCGACACAGCCGATGACGTTGATGCTAAAGTGGTCATGGATGATGTTGGTGTCGATGTTGTTGTTGTCGTTGATAGATAAGCTCCTTTGCCACCGCAGCTCGTCATACTATACGATGAGCCACATTTTGTGTGGATTGTGGAATATAATTCGTTGGAATTTAATTTGCCATTACAATTGTTGATGTTGCCTGTGCTGGGGCCACTTCCGCTACCGCCGCCAAATATCATTGCCTTTTCAATGCGCATTCCAACGTACAAAGTACGCGTTATTAACGTGTAGGCCACCGATAATATAACCAATGGCAATACCAGCAGCACCAAATCGAGAAAAATATTGTACGGTCTTTCGTACGGCAAAGCATAGGTTGGCCAATTTTCTCGACACTTACGATAACCTGCAATTTGAGGACAATTGTTGGTGTTAATTAAAAACTTAGCTTAAAGGTATGTGAATATTGTGTAAAATAATTCCGTCAATTATTTTGTTTATTTGAAATGGAATTGAGAAGTTTCGACAGAATACTAATAACTAAAATATTTGTTCGTATTGATTTAATTAAGCCTCTAATATTCTAATTAATATTATTTTTTCTAAAGGAAATCTACCAAAAGCGTTGTTTTTTTATTTTCTAAGAATCTATTTTCTATATTATTTGGCGGACTATCAACACGTATGGATTTTTTAAAGAATATTTTAAAGGGACTAACAATCTGTTAATTTTTTTTTTTTTTTTTTGAGGGACTTTCTATAGGCGTGTTTTTTTCAATATTTTTTTGAAGGAGGATGTGTTTTATAGGCGTGTTTTTTCAATATTTTTCGAAAGAGGATGTGTTTTGAAATATTTTTCGAGTAACTATTAAAATGTGTGGATTTTTAAAGAAAAATTTTTGAGGTTGGATTTGTTAAGTATTTTTTGAGGGACTGTCTTTTTTTGCGGATTTGTTAAATAATTTTTATTTGAAGGACTATCAATAGGTACGGATTTTTAACTATTTTTCAGGCACTATTAATAGACTTGGATTTTTAAAGAACTGCTACAGAATGATTTATTTTTTTTGTTAAATATTTTTGGACATATTACTAGCTGCATTAGAGTTTTAAGAAGGTTTTAAGGAAATAATCAGAAGGGAAGATTTTTTTTTATTAATTAGATTTTTTTTTTTTTAATATATTTCTGAGGAACAATCCGAAAATTTCAGGAGCTTGGACTTTCTTGAGAATACAGTTTAGGGATTAAAAAGGGAATTTATTTATTTAATTATTTATCGGAAATGTGGAAGTATTCTTGAGGGATTTTCTAAAGTGTTGATTTTTAAAAAATATTCAGAATTTCGAGGGTGCGAATATTTTAAATATTTAAATATTCCTATACCATGAGGTTGAGTGTATATTAAATTTGGCAAATTTTCTTATCGAATTGGATGTAATTTTTATACCCTTCACCACACTGTGGTACATGGTATTATGTCTTTGTGCATATGAGGCAAAAGAAAACGAGATAGACACATGGTTCCTTTTGAGGATAAGCATCACTTTCTGATTTACGCATGTCCGTCTGTCCGTCGGTCCATGTATTTTTATGAACAAAATACAGGTCGCATTTATGATTTGGATGCAATTTGGCATATGTCACTTATTTGGCCCAAGGACGAACCCTATTGGGAAAAATCGGTTCAGATTTGGATATAGCTCCCATATATATTTTCGTCCGATTTAAGGTAAATGGTGCACCAAAGTCTTTATATATATTTCGATTTGCACGAAATTCGGCATAGGGTACTTAGTTAGATCTAGAATGATGTGTTAGGTTTCCTGAAATCGGTTCAGATTTAGATATAGCTTCTATATCTGATCAAATGAAACATTTAGTATCGGTTGCAGAATGACATGTTTATGGATCCAATTTCATTTTACTGGTCTTTTAAAAATGCGACGTCTGTTGGCATTCATCTGTTGAATATACCCAAAGTGGTGAAGAGTATCATATAGTCGGCACCGTCCGACTTTCCTTACTGGTTAATCCCGGATTTGTGGATGCTAAAAAAATATAATTTTTAATAGCTTCCGATATGGAAGTGCCTTTGATAATAGTCATTTTCGGTATTATGAAGAATATGGGCGAAATTTCCCACCGACGTGGCTGCCATGTGACTTTCCGGTATCTTGGAAGAATTTTGACACAATTTTTCAAGGAAAGGAATGTAGGGCTGAAAAATATCTTTGCAGAAAGTGTTCAATTTAGGTCCATATATTGATATAGTCTACATATAAAGATTTCTCAAAATGTTTGTACCCTCCACCTTGTGGTAGAGTCTATAATAAATTTGTCATTATATTTGCAACCTGGCCTGGGACCCCATAAGGTATATTTACTATTGATCAGGATATAATTCGATGTCGATGATGATTTCATAAAGGCATTCTACATACGTATACGTGTAGAAAACAGTTTAATTATAAACAGTCAATGGACAATTCCTGCCTCTCATTCTTCTCTTGATTATATTATATTCGAATTAACCTCAGAAAAATCTCTCCAAGGTCCTCCGTTATTCAAAGACCCCATTAAATTATTCTGGAATTTATTCATTGTTGGAGTTTGAGATTGTAGGTCTCCTTACGATAGAAGAACATTTGATGTTCATATATGTATGAAACATATATCGATGAACGCTTAACGACCACCATTCGTAAACGATCAATGGGAGAATTTTACCTCTCAAGCTCCTCTTAACGGTATTCTATATGCAAAACTCTCTGATGTAATAAAAGACGTTTTGCATAATTTTTGCACACAAAATTTTTATAGAAATTCTTTTTATTTGAGACCATTTTAAACGATTTTTAATTGTATTTCATTTTTAACATTGTATATTCCAAGTTTTTTTAAATGTGGTTATTTTCGTTTATGTTATTAAAAATCTATTTCCGGCCACCAAAAGTTGTCTTCTGCTCAAAAATATTAAAATATGTTATATCTGCATATATGTTGAATACAAAAAAATAACATTTCACACAAATGTGTAATCTGGTAGAAAAAAAACTCATTTCCCGCTGTACACATTTTCATCGGTAATTTATGAACCAAACTATACGCCTTCCATACTCGTTATATACCACCAATGTAAACCCAACTCAATTAAAATTATTCCCGATCGAATGAATGATATTCCAGGCACATAACTCAAAAGTGAATGAGCTTCCATCGTACCCAAACTCAAAATTTAATTTACTCACCTTGTCGACTTGTTGGCATTAATTGACTGAAAATTGCAATCGGAGTCATACACAACATGCTGCCAAACCAAATGCAGGCAATAATTTTGTACGCATGACTTCTCGTCTGCCAACGTCTCGATCTCAAGGGATGACAAATGGCATAGTAACGTTCACAGGATATGGCCACAAGGGTCCAGGATGAAACCGCTACCGAAGCAGCTGTAAAGATAGTTAATGTGTGATAAGTGTTGAAAATTAACGGCGATTGGAGGACACGAAAATTACTTGTTGATTTTGTTATGTAACTACTGGATGATTAACGTTGATGGCGCATGATGATGATGATAAGGATGATGCGGATGATGGAGGTCATGGCTGCAATGAAGCTGATAATCATATTGTGAGAAATGTCAAATAGATGCGTGTATTTAAATTAAAATGAAAATATTGTTGTGGGTAAAATGTAGTTATTGGTCTATACGTATATTATATTGTATACATATTTATATTGCTGATAGGATTTTTTATGCCACTTTTGTTAACGGATAAGCTTAAAAAAATTTTTTTTATTAAAAAAGTGCGTTTGTGAACAAAAGTTTTATTGAATAATTCTGCTCGTAACCGTCAACAATTACGGTATACCAAATTACTCTCCAATGATTTAGATTGCGGCTAAAACTCCAAAATACAGAAAATTAAGCAGAATATTTATATGGTGCTATATTAAAACATAGGCCTATATATATGGGAAAATATATATGGGAGTTATATCTAAATCTGAACCGATTTTCACGAAACTTAGCACACATCATTCTAGGCTTAATTCAGTACGCTGTGCCAAATTTCGTGCAACTCGAAAGATATTTAGGGACATTGGTGCACCATTTACCTTAAATCGGACGAAAATATATATGGGAGCTATATATAAATCTTTCCCAATTTCAATAGGGTTCGTCCTTGGGCCAAATAAGTGACGTATGCCAAATTTCATCCAATTCGGATAATAATTGCTACCTGTACTTTGTTTACAATTTAACATGGACAGACAGACGGACGGACATGCATAAATCGAATTAAAAAGTGGGTCTATCTTGATTCCTTTTGCCTGTTACAAACATAAGCACAAAGACATAATACCCTGTACCACAGTGTGGTTTGCTACCCAATAAGAACTCAAAGTACCAAATTTCAGCGAATTCGGTCCAAAAATGCGATAAAAACCCCCAAAATACCGAAAATTTGCTACCCAATAAGAACTCAAAGTACCAAATTTCAGCGAATTCGGTCCAAAAATGCGATAAAAACCCCCAAAATACCGAAAATTGGCGCCACCCTTATATGGGGACTATCCGAAAAAATGGACCTATATTTATAATTTTTAGTAGGGAGATTTGCTACCCAATAAGAACTCAAAGTACCAAATTTCAGCGAATTAAGTTAAAAAACGTGCTAAATAACCTCAAAATACCGAAAATTGGGGGGGGGGGGGTACCCTTATATGGGAGCTATGCCTAAACGTGGACCGATTTTCTCCAATTTCAATAGGGTTCGTCCTTGGGCCAATAAGTGACCTGTGCCAAATTTCATCCAAATCGAATCATAAATGCGACCTGTACTTTGTTAAAAAAATACATAGACGGACGGACAGACGGACATGCATAAATCGACTCAGAAAGTGATTCTATGCATATTCTCAAAAGGAACCATGGGTCTATCTCGATTATTTGTGCCTGTTACAAACATATGCACAAAGACATAATACCCTGTACCACAGTGTGGTGAAGGGTATAAAAATATTAACATATATCGATCATTATTGGACATGCTGACGTATGTGTGAATAGAGAGTTTTGCCAATGGTGCTCATACGCCACATGAACCACTCCTCAATATAAAAGTCCGAATTACTTTTTATTTTTTTGGTTGGAGAAAACTGTTCGTTCCAGTTACCGAAATATAAGGCAATAGAAAATAATACATCTTGTTGGACACACACCATAATAATATATTAAGGGAACCCCCCCCATTCTCGATTTTTTATTTTTAAGATTTTAAATGGGCTGGTAAATGAATACCAATGCTTGTTAAGGTTTGTAACTTGGCACATATATATTTGAAGATTTAAAAAGGAAGAAAAATAATTTACAAAAATTTGTTGTTGTTGTTTTGTTGTTGTTTTTTGGGTGCAAAGAAAAGTCCACATTTTCGATGGCGGGCATGATAACTCCTCACTGGAACATCGGAATCCGAAAATTCCAACTGTGTTAGAAAGAGGACATGTCTGGATCTCGTATGAACTAGGATTATTGACTTCGCTCTAAAATTAACAAAATGGTGGACCTTTGAAAAAATTTTTTTGGAAAATCGCCGATTTTTTACCAAAAACCATGTTAAAAAATAAGGAAGATCTTCACCGATTGGCTTTATCCTAGTTCATACGAGAGCTATACACTCTCAGAGAAACGCTGCAAAATTTGGAACCGATTGGATTATTGGTTTTTGAGTTGTCGTGCCCGCCATTCACAAAAAAATGTTTAGAGTAAAACGCGTTTAAAGTTTGAGAAGCCCTTTAGCCGTCACTTAATGTTGATACAATAAATCGGCTATATCTTCAAGAGTTCTTGAGATTTTCACTTGAAATTTTGTAGAGACATTCCTTAATCAGTGTAGATTCGAATTATATCAACAAAAATTTTGACACCGAGAATGGGGGGGGTCCCCTTAAATGACATAAGTATTCTACATTCGGACGAATAAAGTTTCCTTTCTAAAACAAAGCTGTCATATAAGTCATAATATGGTCCATTGTTTAAATAAAAATACACTCAGTTTTTACATATTTACAACAAATGTCAGACACACCAACAAATATAGTGTTTTTATAAAGTCCTTATCTGTTTACTTGCCACAGGAACATGCCAACTACAGGAATATCACTTTCCTTTCTATTCTCCAGAACAAAACAAGAGAAATAAACGGAAACTTTTAGTTTCTAGTTTTATGTGAATAGGAAATTGTTCGTTTAGTTGTTTTACGATAACATATACTTTTATAGTACTTAATATTTATGTAGTGTGTTATATGTTCGAATTACAATTTGTATTGATTGGCTTGGTATCAAGCGCATATATATTTATGTAAACAAAACGAAGTAAACGGTTATCCATGTCATGGTCTCAAAAGTATGGGACTGCAGTTCTATCAAACTAACCAATTTTTATTCTTGTATTTGAAAATCTGACATTGACGGAACTGGATCGCTTAACTATCCCACAACATAAACAATTAAAAAAAAATATATCAAAATATACTATAACCAATAAGGAAAGTAGTAAAGTCGGACTGGGCCGACTATATGATACCCTTCACGACTTTGGCTATATTCTACATATGTATCCTACCAGACATCGCCTTTTCGAAAGACCATAGACATGATATTAAACGAACTTAAATATGTGATCTCTATATAATTGTAAACCGATTAACATCAATCCCTGCACATGCCATTCTGCAGCATATAATAAATTTTGTAAAACGATTTTCGCGAAACTTAGCACACATCATTCCAGACTTAATTTAGTACACTAGACCTAATTTCCTGCAAATCGAAAAAAACATAGGGACTTTGGTGCACCATTTACATAAAATCGGATAAAAATATATATGGGAGCTATATCTAAATCCGAACCTATTTTCACGACACTTAGCAAACATCATTTTAGACTTAATTCAGTACGCTATACCAAAATTCGTGCAAATCGAATGATATATAAGGGCTTTGGTGCACCATTTATATTAAATCGGACGAACATATATATGAGAGCTATATCTAAAACAGAACCGATTTTCACGATACTTAGTACACATCATTTTAGACTTAATTTAGTACGATATGTCAAAATTCGTGCAAATCGAATGATATATAAGGTCTTTGGTGCACCATTTACCTAAAATCGGTCGAAACTATATATGGGAGCTATATCTAAATCTGAAGCGATTTTCACGAAACTTAGCACACATCATTCTAGACTTAATTCACTAAGCTGTACCAAATTTCGTGCAAATCGAATGATCTGTAGGGACTTTGGTGCACCATATATATTAAATCGGTCGAAAATACATATGGAAGCTATATCTAAACCTGAACCGATTTTCACCAAATTCGTCCTTGGGCCAAATAAATGAGCTCTGCCAAATTTCATCCAAATCGGATTACAAATGCGACCTGTACTTTGTTATACCCTTCACAACTATGTTATCAGGGTATTGTAATTTTGTACATCCCCAAGAGTGTGTAACGCCGCGAAATATTGGTCCTAGACCCACCTTTAATTATACCGATCTTCATATCACGACTAGCTGAGTCGATCTAGACATGTGTGCCCGTCCGTCCCTCCTTCTGTCTATTATAATTTGTAAATACGATACAGGCCACAGCCGTAACGCCGCGAAATATTGAATGGTCCTAAGACCCACCTTTTTTTATAAAGATCGGTCGTATTTAGGGGATAAATGGACTAAGTCTATTTTTGTTTTTTTCTGCAAACACGATTATAGGCCGCATTTTATTCTATAGCCCAATCTCCACGAAATTTTTCATGTAGGATGGGTTCGGCCCAATGAAGATCCCTATTGTTTTTGGTAAAGATCGGTTAATATTTAGGGGATGAAATGGACCAAATATTTAATTTTTGTCGGTTTTTCTGGTCGCTCCAGTGGCCACAATTACAGCCCAAACATCTCGAATTTTTACATGGAGAAGGGGATTGGACCAAAGAATAAGCATGCCTGTTTTGATAAAGATCGGTCAATATTTAGGGGGTCAAATTCTATAGCGTATATATTTTTGCTCCTGATGGACGTTGACCCGAGAAATAAATAGTATATCCAAGAGGAGTGGTTGGCCGTTAAATTGATATCAATTATATTGTCATATGTACTCGGAAGTGGGAGTTACACTTAAATGTTTACACTAAATAACTTATTATTATTTTTTTGTTCCATGATTCCAGTTATATATATTTTCGCCCTAAAACTTATTATTATTTTTTTTATTCAATCTATATGCCACATAAGTCGAACATCACAACACAACCCGTAGTGAAGGGAATACGGAGAAGTAATTAGAAGCGCTGTACGGAAGATATGCTGTTGTAAGGAAGATATGCTGTTGAGCTCTAATCGGGTAAGATGGTGCCATTATCACGAAATATTACCCA